AATAGTTATACTCAATGTAAATTTACTTCCCCAAGGAAAGTTGTGCATGCCTTTTATATAAATACTGCAGTTACTGTGAAATCACTTTTTGAGTTGGGGGGGGGGGGGGGGGTATAAATGGGCCTACAAATTCATAACCTTGATAAAATACTAAAAGTTTAATATTTATCTCAAAGACACCAAGAAAACCAATTTTTTCCTTTTCTATACATGATGAGCCAATATTATTCCTTTCATTTTAGATCAAGTTGTGTCCAAGTTAAGAGAGCCAAAATTTATTCCCCACCTTCCCATGACCTTAGATTGAAATTTGACCAGGAAGAAGAAAAAGACCGAATGGAATACCAGCGACCTTGGCCTGACCTTGAAAATCTGTTTGGTGATGACCCAGAATACCAAAAATATCTGACTGACCTTGGCTCATACATGGCAATGCAGCTGGAGCAAGTTAAACAGTTCTCTCATGTAAGTTTGATATACAAAATGACTGGAATGTGGTTTTATTAAGATTGACTTGAGAATAAGGTTTAATCATTTCAAAATTAATATAACATTGATGGAACATGTTATGCAGATTTTGAAAAATACATTGTTTCAAATTTATATTCTTTATCTACATGTATCCTTAGATAATTTTACAGGGATTAATCTAGGTTTTTGGGGAAACTACCCTTTCTGGAGAAATTGGGAAAATTAGCCGGGGTCTAGGAACCACTCGAGAGAGTGCAGGGCCAGCCCTGCTTGGGGGGTAATTGAATTTCAGCATTTTTACTATCATTTAAAGCACATAAAGTAGCAAAGTAAAACCATTTTTCTCATATACAGAAAATTTTTTACTTTAAATTCTCATTTAATGAAAAATCTATCCCGCAGCAATGGCGCATGCGCATAAACACTTCCGAGTGGATACAGCGTCTGTAGCGACAAGGCGGAAATTCCGAATTTCATGGTTAAAAATTGCTGTGTTTACAAATGTATGAATGTCTATAATGCCGATGCTAGATCGAGAGGGGTTAGTTTCTTCCGTTTCCCAAAGAATAAGCGAAAGCGAAGAGTGTGGAGCAAAGCAGTCAACAGGGATAAGTGGGAACCAGGCGACCACACTTGGATCTGTTCCGAGCATTTTTTGCATGGGTGGCACGGAGATGATCCCAGTGATGATAATTACGCCCCCACTTTGTTTGCTTATAAAGACATAAGATCGGATGAAGACGTCAAAAGGGAAAAAAGGAGATTAGAACGTGAATCAACAAAGGTAAAGTCTTAATACTTGATAAATCATAAGGCCTACCCCGGCAATATTTATCGTATATGTGATCTTCACTGATCGATTTTTATATACTCCACATAAATAAAAAAAAAAGTCTTATCAATATATATTAAGGTACATGCACGGGAGTTGGAGGGTAGTTCAGTTGTGGTGAATATAAATTGAAGTGTAGGTATATAGTACGTACTGTACATGTATGATAAATTATAGGCATTGAGATAAATTCAGAAAATGTACATATTTTATAATCTTTTTTCGTCACAGTCAAAAGGGGTTGTTTGGGCGTTGGTGTGGGCATGAGGTACCTGTTTTCGTGTGTATCAAGTTACCAATACAAATTACAAATACCTACAATAAAGTTTTACTAATACAATTCAAATTATAATGTAATAATTAAATGCTTAATAAGGGGGGGGGGGTCAAATATCAAATTGTAAGAATCAAGTGTTGCATAAACAAATTTACACCACTATAAATAGCAAACTGAATAATTGGTGTGTTTATGTAATAATACATAGTACTTGAGTACTATTTATTCTAATGTTTAACAGTCTATTTTGTTGCTTGTGCATTTAAAATATTGATAATATATATGAATATAGAAAATATTCATTTAATAGGAAGAACAGTACAAGGAGGTTATCTAAAGAGAGGGAGATGGCAAGCCTTCATTTTTCGCTGCTGGCCCATGGATCATACTGTAGAGTAGAAAGGCTGTAGATATCGATCATGAAGATCTTTCTGCCATCACAACAGATGATGTTAACATTCATCTCACATCTGATTCAAGTGAGACTACCACTATACATTTGTAACATCTAAATGGTATAATCATTAATTTGAATACCGGGTACATAGATAACTTATAAATGGTCATCAATTGACATTTGAGTTTTTGTGAGATGAACATTTTTTTAGTATACCCTCAATAATACAAGTAAATTTATGTAATTCCAAATGAAAATATAATATATTACAAAGGATGAATATTGCTGCAATATTTATAGTTACATAATAACAAATCCTAGGTATACAGTGTGAAGAAGACCCCCTACTTCATGAAAACAGGGAGCTAAGACAAGAGGTCAGTCGACTAAGAGCAGAACTTGGCAAGCATAAGTGGGGTGTGGAACGCATCAAAGACGACGATGGAATGACAAAGTTCTACACAGGATTACCGTCATTTGCCATCTTTTTGTGGCTGTTCAAGTAAAAGAATATTTAAAGGCCAACAATAAAAAATGATTTGTTTGATGTACTCCGACCTTCCCGTCAAAATCGCCCCTACCCAATCCTTGTTTTCAGTACTTTAAATTTTAGTGTTTTTTTTTTATTTTTGGGTGGGGGATTGGTTTTCAGGAAAATAAAAATTGTTTCAATTTAAAGAGGATTTATAATTTCCTTAAGATGCTTTTTTCTTGCTTTGACAGAACATTTTAAAGCAATGGATATTAAATCTGTCTTATCCAGAGTAATAAGAAAACATCAATAAATATGATTACTATATACCCCCCACTTGAAAAAGTCTTTGGTTTTTTTGACAATAAATTGTTAGATGCTGCAAAACAAAAACAAAAACAAAAACAAAACCTACCTATACCCACCTTGAAAAATGTGGATCAGAGTACATAAAACAAAAATATTTTACTGATGGCCTTAGAAACAAATTATAAAGTAGGAATGTCAACAATGTTTGAGTACCCAACTTCATGCAGGGCTTAATGGTCATACTGATCATTAAGTGACTAGTTATTTTTAAAATGAGCTGCCTACTCTTTAAAAATTTGCCATTATAAAAGTTATATAATTTCTAAATTCAATTTAAAATTTAATAAGATGATTTGACCTCATTTTTAGCTCTACTGGTCAGAGACCAGAAGAGCTTATGCGATAGTAAGGGGTCCGTCGTCCGTCCGTCTGTCTGTCTGTCTGTCCGTCTGTCTGTAAACAATTTTTCAAAACGCTACTCCTCCTACAGTTTTGGTCCGTGTTTCAATATAACTTGGCACACAAGTAGACTACACTAAGATACATAAAATAGTGCATTGGATTTTAATTTCGATGAACGATGTTGCCATGGTTACTCAAAATTGAATTTTCTTTGAAATTCCTTTAAAACGCTAGTCATCCGACAGTTTTGGTCTGATGGTAATGGCTTCTTTTCTCATCATTTATTATAAGTACAAACCAGTAGAGCTACAGTCTCGACAGAGACTTCTGGTTTCTGTTTGCATCTGATAATCTATTTTAAAAATATTTTAGCCAGAAAACTTTTTTAGAGTAGGCTTGCATATTATGTCAGCAATTCACTTTATAAAATATTTAAATGATTTCTTAAATTATTAATCATTGCAGCTACCTTGCACCTAAATGCTCAAGGATGAACTATTGGAGGGGACAGGGCCAAACTACATCTACAGATAGAGTGCGAATGTCTTCATCATATCTCAGCCCCATTGATCAGTTTTTTGCAGTTTTAATGAGATTGAAAGTAGGTCTTTACATCCAAGATATTTTTCAGAAAGATTCCAAATCAGTTGTGCCTCATTTTCCATGATATTTACTACTTGGATTAGTTTACTACATGCTGAACTAAAGTTTCTAAATCCCTTCCCAAGCAAAGACATCATCAACAGGACCATGCCAGAATCATTTAAAGTAAAGTATCCATCAACTAGAGTTATTATTGATTGCACTGAACTGTTTATTCAAAGTTCAAGTAGCCTTTTAAATCAAAGTTTGACATTCTCTAGTTATAAACACCATACCACTGTCAAATTTTTGGTTGGCCTTTTATTAGCCCCTCCGGTGTCATCACATTTGTTTCTGAGGGATGGCCGGGCAAAACATCAGATCGTCAACTAACAGAGAATTGTGGGCTGATCAGTTTGCTTGAGCCAGGTGACAGTGTAATGGCTGACAAGGGATTCACAATTGCCGATTTGTTGGAAAAACAGCAGTGTTTTCTAAACATCCCACCATTCAGAGGTATGATGCAATTAGTTTGAAATTAATAGTACATGTATGTATAAACATGCATATATTATTAAATTTAACACATATTGACTGAGGCTGGTAGCAAATTTGAAAGTGCTAAAATAGTGTTTTTATTTTATTCAGTAACATTCAGTAGGTCATATGTACCCCATGCAATATCTATTGTAGTGCTAGCAAATCTTCAAGTAGCCATGATTGTGACACTTTTTTTTCTATGATGTATATTTTCTTTACTGAAGTTGTAGCGGTATTATTACGTTAGAATAAGAAGATGACAATTTGTATCGGGAAGAGGGGGCATCATATTGGTGAAGGACAGATTATTTCCAAAATGATCAAAACAGTCTTTTTTCTTCACTTAATTACAAAGTCTGACAATAAAATTTAGAACCATGCATTTTTAGGAAATTAAGTCAAAAAAATATGTAATTCAACAAATACATCTCCAGTCCTGCATGTCAGAAAATCTTCCTTTTTATTTTAGGTAATGTGAATCAATTTTCTACTGATGATGTCTACAGGACGCAAGAAATTGCACAGCTCCGTATTCATGTGGAGAGGAGTATTGGACGGGTAAAGAATTTCCACATTTTGGAAGGAGTGATCCCCCTTAATATTGTGCCTCTCATAAGCAAAATTTTTCAAGTTTGTTGTTGGTTAACAAATTTGGATTTCCCGATGGTTGATGGAAAGAAACCAACTACAGAAGAGTCTTGAGTAAGTACTAAAAAACAATATTTTACTAAACAAATATATTTAACATTTTACATTAAAGTTTAGTAATTTCAAATTGAATACACATATATTTCAATAATTTTACAAGAGTGGAAAAATATGCCTCATGTAAAATTCAACTAATTTGGGTAGCATGTCTTTTACGTATTGTTCATCGAAGTAAATTCTCTCGATGAAAATGTTGTCTGACTTAGCTGCCGTCCATACCACAAAGTCCACCCAAGGAAGCCCAATGATGGCCATCTCACCCTGAACCTGTGCATAGTATTTGTGTGATTTCTTTAATGTTGGGCCCAATTCACTGAGTTCAAGACAAAACTGTTTTGAATTCATTGACATAATATCAGATATTCCCAACAGTGTTATCTTTATGAGAGTTACATTTTGTCCTGAGATGGAGAAGGGATATTTAATTTCTAGCAGTCCAGTGCTTTCATTATCAACCACTCTCCCATCACTGGTAGCCCCTAGAAAAGAATGTGTCGAGCATAAAGTAAGACCAGATGTCTGTACGTCAGTTTCCAATTGAATAGCTCTTTTGATCTGTAGGTAGTCTTCCTTTGCGTCCATCTCATGGTCAATTCCCCACTGCACTGCGAGAGGTAACCTAGAGTATCTGAAATTGTAGAAACTGGTTTTTAATTTCTGAAATCAGCATTTACAAAAAGTATTTAATTGTTTTATCTAAAAAAAAAAAGTTGATGTTAGTTTTGTGATGCAATGTGCTACATGTATTTAGAAAGTTAAAAAAAAAACAAATTAAATTACTTGTTTAGATTTGATCCATACAAAATCTGTTGGATTAGGGATGTAGGTTTGTCTCCCGATTGAAGAACATCACCAAAGATAGAACTTGTGATCCGTCCAAGATGAAGTTTTTTCCATAGATCACTAAGTCTTTGTGCTCTTGTGTGTTCTTCAATGTAGTCTACTAAGTTTTGGTCAATCATAGGTGGTGGGACTGCAAAATTGCACAAAAATGCCCTTATTAATATAACTTACAATTGATGATTGCACTGAATGTAACTTTTTTTTTTACTATCATCTGTATGGTAATTATTGTAATATTTATAAATGAGTATATTTCATGACTCACCATTGCTTTGAGAGAATATCATTTTTTCCATTTTCAGGTGGAGTGGATGGACCAATGTTTCCACCTCCATTTCATTGTCCACTGCAGTTGGTGCTCCAGAGTCAGGAATGTTCCATAAATGTGCCATACCTAAATATTTCAAACAATTTTTTATGATTATTGTGGGGGTTTTTTACCAAGACCAAAATTTAGATTTTTTTTAAACTTGTAAATATCACTATCACTTTAATGATTTAATGTCTCATACAATTATGTCTGTTCATCATATCAATAAATATAAACTTGCAATATTATTTGAATTAAAAGGCTTAGAACATGAGCAAGCTGTTTTTAAAATAGGAAACATTGTGTTTCACTTTTTCCATCGATACCTGTTTGAGGGAAAATGACTTTTAATTCTGAAAGCTGCTGCAATGACCAGTCTATGTCATTTTCCTTATCCTCTGAATGTCGAGGGTCAAATTTCGCCATTGCAGAGCCATGTGGTAGAGAAACGGTTGCTGCAGCATTGTCCTCACCTGTCTTTTCTATTTGGGCACGAGGCTTTGATAGATTCAGATTGCTAATTGGGGTTGGTTTCTGGTTAACCGACCTTGGCATCTTCCACGTGCATAGAGTTGAGGTACAGCTCTGGGATGACGTAAAGATGCCATTGCATATTGCAAAAAGCAATCCACCAATATGGCTGCAGGCTTGAGCTAACCTACAGTAAAATGATGATGAAAAAAATATTTATAAATTTAATTATTCTTAAGTGTATAGAAGTTTTACAATTAATTAGAGTTGCTAAAATGGAGAAATCAAAAGATCAGTGTCAGATTAAAAAACTAAATTCAAATAGTTTAGGTGGTGGGGGAATCAAGAGCCCCAAAAATTCTTGTGCAACAAAATTTAATACTCAGAGATTTAATGTGGTACAGGAGACCTTATTAACTGGTATTTGAAATGTTTTTTATGAATAAAAAGGGAAATAAAAGCTATTAACAGTGTTATAATACATCAGTATTAATGAATAATTAAATTTCAATCAACAATTTAGTTTTGAGGAGGAGGGGAGGGGCCTTGATGAAAACTATCTTTAATGTAGTATTTTGTCAAACACTGATCTTTTGACCATTCTCCTAGCCTAAGTGTAACACTTAAAATACTTACCCAATGGGACACTGGCAATATGCATAGTCCACTTTGTGTGTGCTGCCAATGTTTGTCATACAAAGATAAACCTGATACCTCTGCTTTTTCATAGATGCCAAGCAAAAGGCCTTGACATAGACTGTTGTGTCATCAATCTACATGTAAAACACAAAGTAACAATCTAAATACAATGGCATAATTATTAATACTGTATTGGTTGTAGCTGAAGATAATACACACATATATATACTATATTATTGAAATAAAAAGGACAAAATCACTTAATAAATCTAAAGAATCAGTATTACTTACGTTGGCAATACTTAATTCTTGGATGTCCCCTGCATCAAAATGTTTCAGAGACTTGTCCAGTCCTTTAAAGTTTTGAACACTCTGACCTCCCTGCCTTGTCCTTGAGATCATAAACTCATACAAAGAGGAAAAAGAAAGGGCAGATGGTTTCACATGACTTGATGGACCTATCAGCTGGTAAGAAACTTTGTTGAATGGTGGCAAGTTTTCTTTGAACTGCGTAAGTGTAGGATCAGAGGAAGAAAATACCTCAACAGTGGGACACAGGGCATCTGTACTTGTGCTGCTTGCAAGAATATCGCAAATCAGATCATCTTTTTTCTTCTTCTTACAATCAATACCCAGATCTAAAGCTATTGTTTTCAAAATGCCTATATTTGTTTTCTTTAAATGCTCCAGCGTCGCCATACTTTTAGACGCGCATGGTAACTAATGTAAACTTGGCAACGATAAACAGGAAGTTCGACTTAATTTTAAAAATATCAAGAAAATATTTTTTTGAAAAAAATATAACAGTTTATTTATTTAACACAAAATTATAGTTAAAATCTGAAACATGTTTTTATACATTTTCGACGCGGTTCGCTTCACGCTCGTATCCACTCGGAAGTAGTTGTGCGCATGTCTGCATATATTATTAAAGGGGTCTATTCTGTTTTTAGGAAGGAAAAATTATATTTGAGGTTTTTATTATTGTAAGGGGAATATTTTACTCATCAAAAGGGGAAAATAAGTTCCTGAGGGGAAATTTTCTCTAGGGGAAAAACACCCATTATCGATAGTAAATATGCCCTAGATTAATCCCTGTTTTATGTCAATATATGATTTCCTCCAACAGAACTTTGATCAGTACTGTGAAGTGGTGGACAAGAGTAAAGCCTTGGACATTGATGAATCCATGGCCAGACATGAGTGGTCCACAGAAGAATTCAATCATGTTCTACCAACCTTCACAGAAATGGTCAGACCTGCTTTCTGCATAATATCTGTTTATCATGAGAAGAATTTTTAAAATATTTTCAGAATTATGATGCATTAATAATTTTATGTTTTGTTGCTAAGCTGGTAATCTCAGTCATAGAATGATATTATCCCCTCATGCAAATAGTTGCGGAGGGGATATAGCATCGCAAATGTGCGTATGTGTGTGTGTGTGTGTTAGTGTGTTCGTTACACTTTGTGGGCAAGATTAACAGAAAACCTTTGCTAACCACGCTCAGCGTTTACAAACTTATGTGAAAATATAAAAAGATGAAGCCTATTCATTTTCAAGTTCATTGTTAAATTATTTCTTCTGATATCGCGTTTCACTGTCTCGAAACCCTGACATTTTATGTACGAGTTGACAATAATCATTTCTGCAAGGGAACCAATTTAAGAACCAGTTTGAAAGCTTAAAAGTATCTATGTTATGGCTCCCCCCCCCCTTAACCACTTTGCATTTTGTAAAAATGGATCAACAACAACACACCCACTAATAATTTTGTCAAAAGTAGGGGAGTTGGTCCTAATGTTGTGGGTTTGAATCCCTTCGTGGGACATGGAGACTGGTCCTTCGAATAAATCCGTGTAACTAAAGGCCCATGTCCCAACAAATGCTGGCACAAAAAGATCCCTCACTGCTCAATGGTCGTAAGTCCCTATTATAGGAAAGAATGTGCAGCTCTCCACCGGCAAGCCTTCATATGAGCAAAAAATTCCTGAGAGGGACAATAAACAAAATACATTGTACTATCAATCTTTAACATGTTTAACGTCCCTCTGGAGAATTTATCTCTTGTGAGATGTTGCCATTAGGCGAGGGGATGCTCCGCTCAGCGGTGCCCTTGTATTTTGCATTTTTTGGGCAGAAGCACTTTTTTTTCAAATCTTAAGTCTAAATTTGTAGAAGTAACAGCTTTCTTTTAACGTCTGTAGGTAAAGGAGATGCGGAAGATGACTGTGAAGAGGAGATGTGCGATGGTTCTGGTGATAAGCTCTAGCTTCAGGGACTCCTGTCTCCCCTACCCCCAGGAGATCATCAGCAAGACCCACCATAAGCTGCCCATTATAGCCATCAAATGAAACGAAGATCTGCTTACTATTATCAAGGTATTCAATGAGGAAAAGGAAACAATTCTTAGATTTTTAAAAAGAATTTGATTGAATTTGCAACTAAATTTCAGAAATTCTTTATTTGGTAAGGATTTGGAAATATCTCCCCCTCCACAAAAAAACATGAAATTTAGTGTTTTTAAATTATTTGGAAATGTCTTTTATCAGGGTGCAGCAAAAAAAACTGGAGGACTATTCTAAATCTGTGGAAGAATTTGTGGAACATTTGTCTTTCCTGTCTAAGATGATGTCTGAAATCACAGCTCTTGATAAGGAGTTCCTGATTGTGAAAAAAGTTGTTCACCATTGCCAAGGATTTCTTTGTAAAGATTGAACCAGAAGACCTGGCCTTACACCAGACACTGGGTCCAAGTTTCCGGGGCTGAAAGTAAGAGAGTTAGACTTGCTTTCTGTCTGGAAAAGCCAATTATATAAACTGATTGGTGATGGGGAAAAAATGAAAAATACTCATCAAGTATCCAATAATGTTTTTATTAAAATTAGATGTTGTGATCAATATCTTTGTTGAAAGAAAGAATCAATTTGTCATTTTTTTTATTCTTGACGAAAATGGTGTATGATTGAAATCTGTAAACAAGTACAGTAAAACTTGGCTATAACAAAGTCGCCGGAACCTCTGAAATTACTTCGCTATATCCGTAATTCATTATCACAGGCACTTGTTTCAGGAATAAATTTTAACCTATAGTATAATAATAACACAAGGTATCTAACTCCAAATTGCACGGAGTACCCTCCTCCCTTAGAATCGCGCTCATTTACACTTTCAGAGAAAAGGCAGTGGCAAACTGTTGAATACCTGTGTCATCTACGATAATTTATCTACACAACCGTATATGACTTGCTTGTCTTTGTTTTCTTTAATCTCCATAAACAGCGTCAAATCTCTACTCGTCGAGTAGAAAAGTCGAACTAAACCATAAAACGGTATGTGCTAATCTCGTGGCAAAGAGAAAAATTAAAGAATGCCTGGGTTTAAAAATTCAATCCCAGATTTTAAATATTGCATTGAATAAACAAAATTTCATAGTGTCCTATTTTCCATAAAAACACTACAATGTTTTTTCGATGCAATTTGGAAACAGATTTTTAGCCAATCAAATTCGAGGTCTAATTCTTTGCCTGAGACTAGAACATACCATTCTATGGCTGAGTTTCACTTTCCACTCGGTGAGCAGAGTCTTGAAACTGATAATGTGTAGATAAATTATCATAGAAGACATAGGTAAAAACAGTTTACCCATGCATTTCCTCTGAAAGTGTAAATGAGCGCAATTCTAAGGGAGGTGGATACTTGTTGTAAATCCGAGTTAGATACCTTGTGTTATTATTATACTATGGGTCAAAAATTTATAGCAGAAACAAGTGCCTGTGTGCGTTACATCCAAATAAGGACTTCATTAAATTTATTTAGCTGGGGATCCAAGATAACTACTGTAAACCAATTATTATACGCGTCATTTTTTATTCGCGACTGACCGCCAGAGAACTTATCCGCGACGATTTATTTCCGCGAACAAGTGGTCACATTTTTTTTTATTTCCACGAGTATTTTTGAATCCAATAAAAATTTTATATCCGCCCATAAACTAGGTAAAATAGTAGCGTGAGGTCTGCTTACGCATTGTTCAAGACATTCTGTGCATTGCGTCCATTTAAAATCTTACATCCGCCCCTAAAGTAGATAAAATCTTTACCATGAGTATACTTCATACGCATTTTCACAACGCTCTTGAAACAAAATCGGGGTAAAATCTAGGAAATTAAAATTGATTTCAAACTCTCAATTGCAAAAAAGCCTCATACTAATTGGGTAATCGACGCTTTCTAAGATCTACACAGCCAAGGGGCAATTATTATAAATGGTTTGGACAGAGCAGGACTGTGCCATAATTAGCCGTAATTAACCAGGCTATCTCTGACCCGTCTGTTACAATAAATGAACAATAATAACACAAGCTGAAATGAATCATTTTTAGACAAATAGTTTTAGATTTGCCATTCGTTTTTATTTTTTCTGAATGTTTGTAATTAAATTTCAACTGCTTCGTGTAACCTTACAGTAAAGTTTTTCCGTGATTACTTGTTGAAAAACTAGAAAGGTATTGAAACTCTAAATAAATCATGATATAGGAATATAATGAACAACTGATTCGCGACGATAAATATCCGCGAGCAGAGGTTACTCGCGGAACTCGCGGATATTTATCGCACGCGTATAATACTTGGTTTACAGTAAGGTGAATTCACAATGTCCGCGTTTGTACTAAAAAAGTTTTACTGTATATTTTGTATGCTAAAAGACGCATTGCTTTTTGGGGCACGATACTGTGCAAGTAGTACTAATCCCAAATATAAAAATTTTGTAGAATGCCATTCTGGTAGGAGAAGCCAAGAAAGATAAAAAAATCTGTAAATTTAGCCAGGACTTGGACACTCTCATCTATAAGATTCGTACCAAACTGATGGAGGTCAAAAACCGAGTACTTGACCCAGATCTCCTCAGCACTGACATATAGTAGTGGCTGCTCTGAGTAAGCTCGACTCGATTCAGAGCGAGGTGAGCTCTCAGTAAACAAAAGCGAGGAGCTATGCAAGCTATCAAGAGGGATTCGGAAGCTCACTGTAAGACTCCAAGAGGGGCATGTATGGAGAGTAAGTATGGTTTTGGTTGTACATCTACCTTTTTGCAACAATTTGACTGCAGTTTTTTCAAAGATAGATTATCTCATAAATCAAACAATTTTCAGTGCATACTCAAAGATTTCATTGGATCCTTTGTTGCAAATATCAAAATTATTTTTCTGATTCTAGACGTGAAGTATGGTAAATTTGTGCATTGTTTCATCATCAGTTCTTGCGTTTGTTAGTTTTAATATTTATTATTTATGTCATGTTTTAAAATGTTATTCTTACTTTTATTGTAAACTTACATTTTCTTCAGTGTATTCATTACATGTATACATGCATAATTTTGGTGTTAAAAAACTAGAACATATATTACCAATAATAATTATTTATATGCTTTTAAAAATTTCATATTAAAAAAGAATTAGTGGATGTAAACAATTCATGTCAATTAAGAAATTACTTTCCCTTCATTATAACTCTTCAGTATACATGTAAAATATTGAATTTTTTTTCTAGGGAGTATATGTTAATGGATCACTATGACAGTCAAAGTGCCACTGAGATTCAGGCTGACCTTTCTGACATTAAACGTGACCTGACCTTGAGACAGTTGCTATAGCAATTCCAGGAGGAATGGGACAGCCACACCATTTGATTCTCTA